ATGGACTCCCATCAATTATCCCCCCCCGGGTCCGACCATGAAGGCAATTCCCCAGCCAGCAGTTCGTGGTGGACCCAAAGCCACAACTGGACAATTTCGCCAAGAGGTGATCATGGGATACCAGATCGAAGGCTTTTTTGAAGTCAAGATATATGACATCAATCTCTTCTCCCTTGTCCAGGTGATAGGTCACCTGGTTGTAAAAGGAAATAAGATTAGTCAAGCAAGACCTGCCTGCAACAAACGCATGCTGGCTATCCCTCAGGATGTTGCCATTGGCCAGTCTGTTAAGAATAGTCTCTTTGATAATCTTTTCTAAGACCTTCCCCGGGATAGAGTTCAGGCTGATGGGCCTATAGTTTGCTGTGTCTGCTTTCCTCCCTTTCTTGAAGATAGGCACCACATTGGCCTTCTTCCGGTCCTCGGGCACTACACCAGAGCGCCAGGAGTTCTAGAAGATCCATGCCAGGGGCTGAGCTATGATGCTAGCCAGCTCCTTGAGTACCCTGGGGTGTAAACTGGAAGGGCCGGCTGACTTGAAGGTGTCCAGCTTCTCAAGGTATTCCTTCATAAGGTCAGCATTGATGGACGGTAAGGAATCTCCCTCACCCAGGCCTTCCTGTCCTGTAGTGGGAATGGTGAAAAAATGGACGCAAAGTACCCATTTAGCAAGTTGGCTTTTTCCTGGGTGTCAGCTGTCCCATCTGGTGCAGCAGGGGTCCAATGTTGCCCTTGCTTTTCCTCCGGCTCCCCACATATATGAAAAAGGACTTTTATTGTCTTTGATGCTCGAAGCTAGTTGGAGTTCAGTTGCAGCCTTGGCTTTCCTCGTTTGCTCCCTGCAGGACCGGACCAGTGCAGAATATTCCTCCGTGGAGGTGAATCCCATCCTCCATCCTTTGTAGGCCTTTCTTTTTAGCCTCAGGAGGTCTGCTAGATCCCTGGAGAGCCAGGGGGTGTTAGGTCTGTGTTGTGTCAGGGTTGATGGTCGTCTTGCATAGAGTTTAAATTATGGTTTGTATGAAATGGCTTGGATACAGATGATCCTGTCTCAGGCAGGACACTGGACTACATTGTCCTCTGAGGTCCCTTCCAGCCCTATTTCTCTAGGATTCTGTAATAATTTTGGCTGCTTACAGATATGGAAAAAAATGGCACTTTTAAGTTCGGCGTGCTCCTATGCCAAGCACAGTGCATACTCAGAAGAGACAGCCCATTAATTGAACCCACCTTGCCCAATGTCTGCATAGACTGGGCACGTCAGCAAGGATTTTTTGTGCTTTTATCTAACAGCTGATTCAATCAGTTATTAGATAAAAGCACCAAAAAGCCCCACTGAAGCACCCGGTCTATATGGATGCTGCAGAGCTGGGTTAAACTAACATACTGTCTCTTCTGGTAAAGTGCTGGGTTTTTTCCACCCCCCTCCTCATGTCTGTCAGCACCCTTTATGACCTACAATACCAGATACTATGTTAGTCCATGTGAGCCAGTGTTTAGAATGTTAGAGTGATGCTCTTTTAGGATATATACAGCAAAGAAGAAAATACAAAGATGTGAGAGCTAGAGAGAACATTTTTAAAAGCATAGTAAAAAAAATGGTTTTAGTACCAGAGATGACACTTTCATGGCCTGGTTAGTCTGTCAGTCAAAACAGCTGTTTCACTTGAAAAATATGGTTTCTGTTGTTTTATTCAGATTTTAAAAGGTAAAAATTGCCATATGATAAACTTAGCTTCCTCCACCCATAATTAATGTGCAGTACATTGGTTTTAGATGTAGTGAGCTACCTGGAGAAAGGATTTTAAAATTTTAAGGCATGTTACCACTGTACATTACCTGAGAAGATGGCAAGAGTTAGCTCAGGATATGTCCTTGCCAATTCTTCTGACAACTGATAATATGACACAGAGTACAGGTGTGGCAAAGGAGAAGGCTGACTTAATACTCCATCAGTTCTCTGAACCTCCAGTTTGTGAGCATAACGGAACATCTTGGGTTCCAAGATCTGTAGAAATAAAATCCAAGCACTTGAAACTAAATAGAGTTATGATAAAAAGGTTTTCCTCTAACAAAACACAATATATATTTTGGGCCATCATTTAAAATGTTCTAGCTATGAAGGAGCCATAAATTTTTGGCTATCTGGGTTTCTTTGCATTAGAAAAACAAGTCATAGCTATCATTTTCAAACATCTGTTTTTAAGTGGTATTGCACTGAATATATATATTTGCCATCATGAAGGTTGAAATGATAGAGCTTAATGGATATTTCCAAGTCTTTTTTTCCTGATTAATATAGATCCTGCTCAAAATGACTTTGTGAGGTAATGCAAGTAAGTTTGAAGTGGCAAAACTGTGATAAGCTAGGAAAGTTGCAGTTAGCACTGTTTTGCTTTAGCCTGGCTAGCTTTAAGTACAAACATTCACTTCAGGACGGATGGGGAGAATTTCAAAAACACTTGTGGCAAGATCCTTCCCCAACTTTTACAAACTTAAATGCAATCCTACTTCACACTGCTCAAGTGTCTGAAAAAATTTAACATCCCTATCTGTGTAACACACCATCTCAGCCTTAAGACAACTCACAAAAGGCTGTGAGCAAGAGAAGTCATTCACCTTTTATGTTAATTGTTTTTCAGGATGCTACACATGGCACTGGAAAACTGTGCTGCTGAGACATTGCTGTTGAAAAGAGCTAACATTTCACCATGGGATTGCCATGTGTTTTCCACAACAAGCCGTTTGAGCAGTTGCATGCTCACTTTTTGCAGCGCTAGAAGAGAATATTTCTCACTACAAATGTAGTGCCTGTCCATAACCTTAGGCACCTAATATGTGGGACAGAATCTTGCCCTTGGTAAGCTTACCTCTGCATCCACTGAAGCCAACAGTAAAATTCCTGTTGAATTCAGTGGGAGTTTTGCCAACAGCAAGCACTTTTTTTTGGAAATCCTCCCCCTTCCCCTGAGCTCTGTGTGGCCACATAGCTGCATATCACTGAATAAGATGCATCACACGTTTGTACAGCCCTTTCAGACTTTAGGAAAGGATACAAAGGAGTAAGTGGACACTGATACTTCCTACTGTCCCCTCCCCAACAAGTGCAAGGGAAGCAGGCAAAACACTGGCCACATGAAAAAGGCCAGAAGCAGACTTCTGTGCTACTGGAGAAAATGGGTAACAAGGACAGAATTGTGCTTTCATATGGACTTTCTTTTCTTAAGGACATGTGGCACTGCTGTATGACACTCCATTCACATGGCTTATCAGAAATCCTCACACTAGATTTTCTATTTATTTAAAAGAAAATACTATGGACACAATAGGGCCCATATCTTCAGGTTGTATAAATAGCCATAGCTCCACTAAAGTTACTACACACCAGCTAAGATTTAATAGACATTAGGGCTGGAAGGGACCTTGCAAGATCATCAGGTCCAGCCCCCTGTCCAAGGAAGTCAGTTGGGGTCAGATCACCCCAGCAAGATAAGCATCCAAGTGTTTCTTAAA